GAGGAGCTGACCATCTCTCTGTTGCCATGGACCGACCACTTCCTGGTCAGATTTAGGCTCACTGCGCCCCCTGACCTCTGCAGAGGTGGAGGATCCATCAAGTTGGTCCGCCCCAGGAGGCTTATGGATCCGGATGGATTCCTGATGGCTCTTGGGGAGTTTCCCGCCGCCTCGGTAGGTGATCCTGTCGAGGCCCTGGTCACTCTCTGGAATGGGGAGATGACTAGGGCAATTGACACGATCGCTCCGGAACGTCCCCTCTCAAGTAGCCGAGCTAAACCAGCTCCCTGGTTCACCGAGGAGCTGGCAGCGATGAAGCGAAGGAAGGGGGAACTAGAGAGTGTGTGGCGTTCGGATCCGAGTGAGCCAAATACTTCCTACACTGCCCCCTTTGGTGGAGTTGAGTTTTGTAAATACATCAACCTCTAATTGGAGAAGCTCATTGGCAAATTGTGACTGTAATAGCTACTGTCTTCAGTGCACGAATTTACATCCTTCTGTGGAACTGCCATTTCCCTCCTTGGACGGTCAAGAGAACTCTAGGGGATCTGGCCAGCGGATGCCGGCTTGTACTTCACGGGTCCAGGAAGCCGGACTCCTTGTGTTTAAATTGACCCCCTTTGATTGGGATGTGGTGTCATATAAGAAGACACTAATATTTGAACTTGGTTAACACTACGTCACTTTAGCCTAGAGCACTTTATTAGATCTACCTCCTAGTCTACCAGGGGCCATGCTATTAACTGGTCCCAAAGCGTCCCATGGTGATTAAATTGTAGTTATAGTAGCACTTTAAACAACTGTTATAGTAGCACTTTAAACAACCTGTTATAGTAGCACTTTAAACAACCTGTTATAGTAGCACTTTAAAGAATTGTTACAGCAGCACTTTAAACAACTGTTTCGAGGCCTGCACTAGCACTTAGCCTCATTTGTAGCAGGTTGACAATTAGATATTGTTGTTTACAAATACCCCACTCCTATGTTACCATTGACACCAATCCTGCTGCTATCGATACTAGTGCACTTTACCTTCTTTAATACACTGGAAGGAGCAGGTAATTTCAAGGGGTGGGAACATCAAGACCAAATTATATGTGACTACACTTATCATCAAACACTAACATATGGAACAACAATAGATGGAAATGGAGGGTATGTTCCCGGGGGGAGTGGGTCCATGGGTGGGGGTGCCGCCATAGGGGTGGTGACGGGCAGAGGGAGATATGGGAAAGGGAGAGCAAATTGTTTATTCTGGCCCAAAATTCACAATAATAGATTGGCAACCTCCAAAGATGCTNGAGATGAGCACCACACCCCAGAGTCAGACATGACTGGACTTAGTGTCAGGGGACTACCTTTACCTTTACCTAATATAATATAATAATAATATAGTAATATAATATAATATACAATATAATGCACCAGACATATGAAAATAATTACGAAATAATTACGAAATAATTACGAAAATTGGAAAAAAATTGTTTCGATTCTTAATTACTCCTCACACTATTCCTGCATGGCTCGATATTGGATCGTAAGCTAATTTAAATACGAATCAATAACGAATAACGAAATTAACGAACTGGATCGCCCAAGCCTAATATACACACACAAAACGGGCCACAGCAACGTGTGGCAGGGGATGGCTAGTAATGTATAAATATTAAAATATTAAAATAAATATAGCGTCCCTACTTTGCAGATTTTCACTTATTGCGGGTGGTCCTCGA